GCCTCGCTCAGCCAGTGAGCGGGAACCGGTCTGTATGTGGGATCCAAACCCTCGGGCGGGAGCGCCGCCGCACTTCCCAAGCGGCGCACTAGCGCAGTGCGCCACCGGGTCGGCCCCTGTGGATGCATCTTTAGAATGGACAGTCTCCAGTTTATCACTCTCACTCCCTATTAATAAAAATCAGTGTTTCTGTACTAAATATGGTTCTCACCTGATGCCTCTAGTCCAAATATCAGTGACACGGACCCCCAAAATTCTGGACGTTACGGCAGATGGCTCTTTTGCAAAACCTAGAGAAGAGCTTCTCCTCAACAGTACTGGCCATTATGTGCCATTGCATGTGAAAAAGGGAACCAATTTATGCTGCTCGAAAAAGCACTGGTGATCCTCGCAATGTTCCCAACTCTGGACCCACAAAAAGTCCTGCTATCTAGATCACAAGATTAGTCACACAAAGCCCTACAGTCTCTCCTCAAGAAGCCTTAAGCAACAATGCAAATTAGGTTAAAATTGCAGTGAAAACTACTTGGATTCTCTGCCATGATATTATTCCTGCTGAGGCACACAAAGTTGGGGACACCCACAAAAGTGTCCACCCCTTCACGCTGGCAGAGTCCAATTGTGTTCTCAAGCCACTTCAACCAATGAACAGAAATCCCAAGATGAAATGTGGCTTAAACAATAAAGACTTTATTATCACACAAACCAGAGCAAACTGAGGCAGGTACTTCCCAGACAGGAGATTTGGAGGGTATAAAAATCTATCACAATGGGCCGGCCCAGTGGCTCACTCGGGAGAGTGCGGTGCTGATAACACCAAGGCCCCGGGTTCGGATCCCATATAGGGATGGCTGGTTCGCTCACTGGCTGGGCGTGGTGCTGACAACACCAGTCAAGGGTTAAGATCCCCTCACCGGTCATCTTAAAAAAAAAAAAATCTATCACAAGGATCACAGGAAACCAACAACATTACTGAAGAAGGTAAGCAAACCTCTGCAAGCTGCCAGAACCCAAATTAGGTCCTATTGGCCAAAGCTGGTTAGATCCATATCTTAGCCAGTTAGAATGACAACACCCAAGGGCTCAGCCTACTTATGATGCCTTCTGGGGCACAGGAAAGCAGAGGTTTGCCTCCCCTGATCACACTGAGCTGACTGACACACACTGTGGGGATTTGCCACTTGGTAAAGGCAAGATGGATTCCACCATAGAAACCAACAGTGACATACATCTGGAAAGGGCCCTGGGCAGATTAGAAAATGCAATATAGCTCCTTAAAAGCTTCCTATAGGGCCGGCCCTGTGGCTCACTCGGGAGAGTGCGGTGCTGATAAAACCAAGGCCGAGGGTTCGGATCCCACATAGGGATGGCCGGTTAGCTCACTGGGTGAGCGTGGTGCTGACAACACCAAGTCAAGGGTTAAGATCCCCTTACCGGTCATCTTTAAAAAAAAAAAAAAAAAAAGCTTCCTATAAATCTGGTACTCATAGAATATCTCCTCACTCTGAATGTTCAGATGTATGGTGTTCATCATCTGGTTGATTTCTTCCTCACAAAGGCTCTCCAATGTGTTGTATTATTAAAATTATTACCATTTTTTTAGTAATAATAAATTACTAAATAATATTACTAAGTAATAACAATATTACTAAGTGATAATAATTTAATTATTAAATAAAATAATAAATTTTATTTAATAATTATTATTATCAGCCAGCCACCAATAAAACTTTTGGTGGCTGGCTGGTACAGGTATCTAAACCCCTTCACCTTGGTGTTATAACGCCATGCTGCAACCAACTGAGCTAACTGGCTAGCTCATTGAGCTGTTGTATTAAATAGGGAGAGAGCTCATTCCCTGTTGTCTCCACCTCATTCTAAAGCCTTCCTCTAGTATGAACTTTCTGGTGTTGAATGAGGTTAGGCCTTTGGCTGAAGGCTTTCCCACATTCACTGCACTCATAAAGCCTAGATGGGCTGTGAAGTTTCTCATGCTCAATTAGAGCAGACCTTTGACTAAAGACTATTCCACATTTACTGCACTCATGAGGCATTTCTCTGGCATGAATTTTTTGGTGCTGAATAAGTTGGGTGTTTTGGCTAGAGAATTCTCCACATTCATTGCACTCATAGGGCCTTTCTCCAGTGTGAACTTTCTGGTGTTGAGTGAGGCCAAAGCTCTGGCTAAAAAGTTTCCCACATTCAAAACACTTATAAGGCCTTACTCCAGTGTGAACTCTTTGGTGCTTAATGAGGGTAGAGCTTTGGCTAAAAAGTTTCCCACATTCACTACACTCATATGGCCTTTCACCTGTATGAACTCTCTGATGTTTAATGAGGCTGGGGCTTTGGTTAAAGAACTTCCCACATTCACTGCACTCATAAGGCCTGGTTCCTGTGTGAACTCTACGGTGTTTAACCAGGTTGGAGCCATTCACTGCACTCATAAGGCCTGGTTCCTGTGTGAACTCTACGGTGTTTAACCAGGTTGGAGTTGGAGGTAAAGAATTTTCCGCACTCACTGCATTTATAAGGCTTTGACCCAGTGTGAATTCTCTGATGTTCACTAAGACTGGAGCTTTGGCTAAAGAATTTCCCACATTCGCTGCACTCATAAGGCCTTTCTCCAGTATGAATTCGCTGGTGCCGAACAAGCGTGGGTTTGTTGCTGAAAGCTTTACCACATTCGCTACACCCATAAGGCCTTTCTCCAGTGTGAACTCTCTGATGCTGAACAAGTATGTGTTTGTAGCTGAAAGCTTTTCTGCACTCATTGCACTCATAAGGCCTTTCTCCAGTGTGGATTCTCTGGTGCTGAGCCAGTCTGTATTTTCGGCAGAAGGCTTTCCCACATTCATTGCATTTATAGTGCCTTTGTCCATTGTGAAAGACCTCTGTACACACGATGTCCTTTTGTGGCTTCTCCCCACTGTGAGTAAACTGGTGCTGGAGAAGGGCCAAGCTGTTTGAGAAGTCCTTCCTGGCTTCCCAGCACATGAAGGGCTTCTTTGACGCAGGGACACTGCAGCTCTTCACACAAAAGGCCTTGTCCGAGTCCCTTGTGAAGAGTTCCTCTCCACTGTGCTGCTTCTGAAGTGGGTGAATTTTTCCACATGCCCCATGAAGTTTCTGCCCAGGGTTTGTGCCCAGGTATTCAGCCAGATGCAAATCATCTTCTGAGTCAGGGACACACAACTCCCAGGGACAGGCATTATGAGTGGACGGATCCACCTTTGGAGAATTTATCTGTGACACTGCTACAGAAACATCTTGCTCAGAAGGTGCTTCCTCAGCCCTGGCTCCCTGCCAACAACCTAAAAGCAGAAGAATGCTGGTGAAGGGTATGTTGACTTTGATAGGAGGCAGTGCCATTACAAATGTGCAGCTGACATACCAAGGAATAAACCCATGGGACTGTATTCAGGATGAAGGAGCTGGGGTCAGGTTAAGGAAAGGGCTGCTGTGCAGTACTGGCCTCTAAACATCATAGATGGGGAAGACTCACCAGTCAAAGGACATAAGGATGGGATGTAGCACCTGGAGGAGAAGCAGGGTCCACAACACACTCCTCTGAAAAAGGTTTTCACCAGGGCCTTCACTGCTGGTGACACATGTGTGCTACATGGAAGGGTGTGTTCAGAGCCAAGAAAATCCAACTGTAACTGGGTAGCTGGTGTTCAAATACTATCTTAAGAATCTGTGCAGACCTCATGACACATTAAGTGTAGGCCGTTCCTGGAGAGCACAGCAGAGGGAGCAGTGGAGAGGACAAATGAGTGGTAGAAGACAGAGAGGTGAGAGATAATCCTGGGTCAGAAGTCAGAGCAGAAATGACAGGTGGGCAAAGTGTCCAGAATGGGGAGGAAAGATAGAAATGAGGTATATGGCCACTGGCCTTAGCACCAAAACAGCGCTGGGCACAGGACATGTTCCTCAAACAATGTGAACCCAGCCATGATATCACATCCTGTCTCTGATGCCAATCACCAGGGCCAGGCCCAGTTTGAGCTTGTCTTGCTGTGCCTGAAGTCATGTCCACTCTGTCATGTACCCAGGATTCTCCTCCCAGCTCCAGCTGGTCAACAGCATGAGACTTAGAAGATGCAAGTCCTAAGGAAAAGACAGGACATGTGAGTGGTCGGCACTGGCCAAGGGCGCCCAACCCCAAAAAAACCTCAGGAAAGAAAAATATTACACAAAGAATCTCTGAGGAGGATCCTGCAGAAACAGCCAAGTAGCTCCCACAAATAGTGACCATGTTGGGTCCCTGCAATCCCTGCTATAGTCAGGCCCTAGGAAATGTCAGCTAGAAGGGGACAAAACCTGGAGTACAGAGATGGCATGGGTCTGAGAGTCATCCTAGCAGGCAGCGTATGAAACAGATGGGATCCACTGGACTAACAACAAGTATCTTAACCCACAAACCCTTCCTTGAAAATGCTTCAGGGCAGCTGGTATTTTTAATTGTGAAAGAAAGAGGCAGTACACACAGCCCAGCCTTGGTACCCACAGCACCTACAACAGGGAAACAGGGAATAGAAGCTGTGCCCATTGTCCATCTATGAGAAGAGAAGAGCTACCCATGGAAAAAAGAGGAAAGACAAGAGACCAGCTGAGGACACGGGGTGGTTGTGAGGGCCTTACCCAGAGAGGCAGCAAGTACAAAGACCTCCAGCATCACATCGCGATATAGGAGTCTCTGAGCCTCATCAAGAAGCCTCCATTCCTCCTGGGAAAAGTACACAGCCACGTCCTCAAAGGTCACAGAGCCCTGTGATGATGGGGACAGTTGTGTCCACACACAGATTCTCTCCCCAAAAACCCATGACTATCCCCTAACCCCAGCCCACATTCACTCCCTGCTCATTCTCCCCGGCTCCCTAACTTAGAGGGCAGGTACCATTATTTCCTCATGCTCCACTGATCACTGGGTCCCATCTTCAGCAACAACAGGCAAGTGGGCAAAAGATGCTATCTAAGCTCTGGGCCTGGTATGCAGGACCCCCCATCCCTCTCCTGCCAGGTAATAGCCTGAGAGTCCCTAGGATCACGCCTTCCAAATGTAACCAAACTTGGGCTCATCATTCTCTCTTAAGTTTCTAGCACCAGGGCCCTGGGGCAATTAGTTCACATTTCTTGCCCGCATGTACATCACTTGTTAAGTCATATATCCACCATATATGAGGGTACTTCAAAAGTTTGTGGAGGACTGACCGGTTAGCTCAGTTTAGAGCGTGGTGCCAATAATAACAAAGTCTAGGGTTTGAGCCCTATAATGCACAGTTGCCAAGAAACAAATTACAGAAAATAGTTCATGGAAAAATGAAATTAAAAGACAATGTGCATCTTTCCATGAGGTTTTTGAAGACCCCTCATATCTGATCCACACTACCATCATCTGGCCCACAAAATTGGTATTTCTCTGGCCTCTTCACATGCCCTTCCATACACGGCATCCAGAAAGTGCTTGGCAAGTGCAACAGGATCTTATTACGCCCCAGACCTCCAAGGGCAGTCTCTGACCCTGCTCGGAAGGCTCCCCACCTGTCTTTGTTCCTAGCTTCAGCTTTAGTCACCCAGAGCCACATGCAAGTCTAAATACTCCTGTATGTTCCACTTCTATATTGTACATTATGTCTCTTTACCAGTTACAATCTCTGTCCAGTAAGACTTATTCAAAACCCACAACCCAAACAAAACAAAACAAAACAAAAAAAGCCCACAACCACTGACACCACACCTTAGGTACATTAATCTGACATTCTGACAAAAACTCCCCAAGTCCCATTAAGAGCCTGGTGAGTGTATGGAAGGGTGAATAAGCACCAGCGTGACTTCACTGTCACCTCACCTCCACATCTGCTTTGCCTCGGCATCCATGTCATACCCACTCCCCCATGAAAACCTTTGCCACCTGCTAGACCTTCCCCTTCCCATGTCTTCCTGCTGATGACTACTACTCTTCCTTGTCTTCGTGACACCCACCACCCCCACCAGTTGCCCAAGCAAGAACTCTGTCCATAGCCTCCAATCTCTTCTCCTTGTCCTAAAACAGTATTGTCGTCACCACAACCTAAACATGCCCCCTCCTATACAGGACCCAGAGTTCCACCTTGATCCACACACTAGGTGCCACATTTTAGGTGTCTCCACCCTAATGCCCTCCCCAGCACTCTAGATCCGCACGTCTAACTGTTCACTCATCACCTCTACTTGGAGTCTCTGGAACAGGAGAAACTCCAAATGGCCAAAATCTAACTCCCCCCATAAATATGCATAATCAATTATGTTTCAATTAAAAAATAAATTTTAAAAAACCCCACAACCTAACTCCTAATATTCTTGCTGAAAAGTACTCATACCAGTAACTGCCCCCATCTCAGCTGATGGCACTTCCATCCTTCCAGATGCTAAGACCAAAAGCCCTGGAGTCTTCTGTGACTCCTCCACTTCCCTGTTACCCTTCACATCACAAAATCTGGTCAGCCTACTTTAAAAACAAATCCAGAAGCCAAACATTTCTCGCACATCCACATCCGCCACTCTGGTTCAGTCACAACCAGTACTTATCTAGACAATTGCAGTAGCTTCCCTCACGGGAAGCTCTCACAGAGTCTGTTCTGTACTCGGCAGCCAGAGGGAGGCTATAAGGACCTGAGTCAGATCACTTTTCTCTTCTGCTCTAAGAATGCCACGGCTGTCATCACTCAGAACAGAGACCCAACTTCTCAGGCTGCCATTCCAAGCCGGATGCCAGCCCCATTGTTCTCTGTTCCCATCAGACTTAACAGAGACCTGTAAGTCCTAGAAAACTCCCATCTCAGTCTCACCCCAAGCTTCATAACATGCTGATTCCTTTCACACCTTACTCTACTGGTTGTCAAAAATGGGAACCTCCCCGTATAACCTCAAGCCTGAACTCAGGAACCCGGGCTTATAGTTTCTCTATTCTCTAAGGTCTCCAGACACCAAGGGCAAGAAGAGTGCAGCAAAAGAGCTCCAGGACACTCACCAGTGCAAGGTCCATTTGTGCTTCTGCAGCAAGTGGAACCTATAAGAAAAGCAGAGCCATGCTACTTTAACTCACATCAAGGATGTGAATTTACAGACAGAATTTACTTCTTTACAGACAGTAAAGAAGACAATGGAGTAAAACATTTAATATTTCAGGTGAAAATAAATGCTGAAGGGAAAAATAAATCATGTAAAACAAGGGAGAAAATGTCATAGAATTGTGCCATCAAGTCATGTGAATATCTTGAAGAAAGGCATTTGGCAGTGGGAAAAACAAGTGCAAAGTCCCTCTGCTGGGGTCATGTTTGGTGTGTTTGAGAAGCATCCATGAGGCCAGTGAGACAGGAGCCTAACGAGCCAGAAAAGTAAGGGATAGCTCAGGGATGGAACAGTTATGGCAGGTCACATACTACTATTATATAGTCTTAAGCCAAACTTGTCAAAATTAAATTATGTCCAGGTCTATTTCTGACACTTCCATATAATTCCCTTATTTTGTTTCTTCCTGTGTCAATAATACATTCTTCTCTTCCTATAGATTGTAGTTGGCCTTAATAGGTAATCAGGCATTTGACTCCTTTTTGTAATTCCCTTTCAAATTTTACTTTAAAATTGTTTTATATGAAATTTAGAGTTATTTATGAAATTTTTCAAATTCTAGCTTACTTGATTCATAGATTGAATCTCTGATTAAAAAAATCGTTGCTGGAGTAACAGTAACTGTGCTTAGTCTCCAGCAGTTCAGGGAAACTGGACGTAATTTCTGATATTTAAACTTAAAGGAAACAAGCTAGGACCTGACCTCTGTTCCATCCTCAGTATACAAATGGAAACATCTTGAGTTCTAACATCCTGTTAGGATGAAGTCTTATTCCTTTTTATCCTTACAATGATTCATTTTTGCCCTCTGAAAAGAAGTATTTCACCAAAATATCTTAATCATTTTGTCTTGTAATACAACTGGAAGAAGATGATTTAACAGTAAAATAAATGTTGCTAGAAGAGTACAGGATGAGTATCCATTATCGGAAATGGCTGGGACCAGAAATGTTCAGGATTTCGAATTTTTTTGGATTTTGTAATATTTGCAGAATACATACCAGTTGAGCATCCCTAATCCAGAAAGCTCCAATGAGCATTTCCTTTTAGCATCATGTCAGCAGTCAAAAGTTTTGGATTTTGAAGCATTTCAAATTTTGGATTTTCAGATTAGGGATGCTTAACCTGTACCACTTAAAAAACAGAAAACAAAAACCCTACTAAGTATGTATGAGTATACTAAAAATCTGTAAGTTAACGTAATACATAAATAGGTGCATGTATTGAAAAAATGGGGAGATAAACTAATTAAGAATAAGCATAACAAAAATTAGTATAATAGTTTCATTTAAAGAGCTAAAATCAGTAATATGGCATAAAACAAGAATCAAAAATGAGAAATGTTAAAATACAATAATTTCTATAAAGAACATACAATAAGTTGGACAATAACATAAATCTAAATCACAACTTAGAAAGATGCATTACCAGCCACAGACAATATAAAAAAATAAAACAGAACAGGGCCAGCCCGTGGCTCACTCGGGAGAGTGCGGTGCTGATAACACCAAGGCCCTGGGTTCGGATCCCCTATAGG